ATATTTCTCAATACCTTTTTATCCTTCATTCTACTATATTCATGCTCATTCATCTATTTTATTCTCTAAAATTCTCATCTCCTTCTTTTTAAGGATCTTATCAATCCCATCTATCATTTTCTCAGTCTTTTTCTTGACTCATTTTTCATTTATTTGTTTTGTGATTTGATCCTCATTTATCCTTTTTATATGACCAAACTGCCTCAACTTATTCTTTCATACTGGTCACTCACTTGGTATTCAATCTGCATTTCAGCAACTATTTGTTCTTGATTCAAATTGTTCTTGCTTTACCATGCCACACTTAACTAATCCATACCAACTAGTTCAACACCTTGTCTTTTCTGACATTCCCACCTTTCACTTTTGCATAATAAAGAAGGTCAAAATATATTCTTATAATTAGCCATTTTTTCATCTTTTGCAAAAATTTAGGCACTCTGAATAAATTTGTGTCAGTGAATCCCTAAGTGAGCAGAAGCTGACACAACTTCTACATGGTACAAAGTTAAATATTATCTTTCTGTAAACTATAATCAACTTTTCTTCTTTCTTTCTGGGCACAATTTTTTTTACAAATTCAAAATAAGAAAATAGTGAATATGGCACTAACAGAATATTTTTCCCCTGGGTTGCATTCGTTCAGAATGTGGCGTTCAGAATTTTTCCCAAAACCTATCTTTGACTCTTCCATTATTACCACTGACTGGGGTGTAAACTTCCAACTGTCACCTACCTGTAGATATCCACTTCCATAGGCACCCACAATAGATGGACTTTAATTCATATTTTTTGATAGCCATTTTAGTTTTTTCACTCATAATTAAACCTATATTTCATTTCACTGCATGTTCTTATCAGCCCTACTCTGCAATATCAGATTATATCCTTTCCCTTTCTCTCAGTTTCACTGACACACAAACATACCTATTTTTGCTTCCATTTCACTCGTGCCCTTTATTATTTATTCCTTCCCCCCCTAATTCTTTATGTGTTCTGAACATGAATCTTTTTTCACTTTATATCATTCCTTGATTTTCCATTTTCTATCACTAGCAAGATTGCAAATGTAGCTCTCACAAATATAGTCTGTTTCTATTAAGCATCTTATTGAAAAGAAATACTATATATATGATCCACATCAGTGAGTGGATCATGACAGGAGTGAATTGTGATGGGAGACACTCAGGTACTTACATATACAGTATGTCTTGCCCATCTTGCCCTCTCTTTCCTCCTCCTCCTCATTTCCCAAACATTCCACCACCTGTAAGCATCATGCAGAAGTTTCATGTACCTGCACATCCTTAACATGGAAAAGAATTTTCCTAGGGGAGCAAGGGTTTGGACATTTTTACTGTAACATTGGGAATTACTTCATGTACCACTTTCTCCTTTTCAGATCAGTGTCATCACTGAAACGCACACACATGCACACACACATTTTTAAATAAGGAATACAACTTTGCTGGAAGACTTCCCATCTCTGTACATATAAAAGAAAATAACTTCTACTCTGAATGGAAAAAAAATGGAAAAGTTGAGGCAAGGTGCAAAAAATATGTATCTATATTTACAATAATTAATGTGCTTAGAGGACTGGATAGATATCAGGAAAGATGGCACGACAATATTAAAAAAATCATTTGAGATCAAAGCACTATGAAACATGTACATCTTTAAATAACTTATGCTTCTATTCTGAGTTTTTCTGGTTAAACTGATTATTCACATTCAAAGGAAAGTATGAAAAGATTATAAAACATTGACAAATGTCTAAAGGAGGATGTTGGATGTCCAATTAAATTTCATAATGAATTACTGCCAAAGGTCATCAAAAAGGTCTGGCTGGAAACAGCACTTTGGACAAATTAACCAATTCTGTTTTTGTCACATTTATAAAGTGTAGAAATCTTGTGTTTATAAAATGGAGTAAAAAGACCCCATCTGTTATAAGATTAATAGAACAATGCTGGAAATAAAACAATCAAACAATTTTAAATGGCTTTTGAGCTATGAGATGTAAATGGGACATGTCTAGTTTTTACAATGCTATAGCAAAAAAGAGTAAATAGAAAAAACACTAGTACAAAGGATTTTAAGAAAGTGTTTGGTTACCATACTTAAAACCAATGATTCATTTTTGTTTCAATATCTTGCAATTTCAGCATTCTTTGAGAGTATGCTTTGAAAGAGGCAACTTGCCTTTAATGACACAATTTAAAGAGGAATTATTATTCTCAGCAAAAATATCAAAGCTGAGCTCTCTTTTTTTAAGAAAGAAGTATGAATTAAAATGACCTTGTGTTTCAAAATCTTTTCTCCTATTACTTGATGTTCTTAGCCCCTTTTCCCTTTTAAAACTAGATCTAGTGCTGGTGCCTTTGGCATATTGAGATTTCAAAAGGCAGAGCGATATTTTTTAAAAAAATCCATACTCTTTCTGTATGATGTGTTAAAACGTCTTAGCATCAAGGGTGCCCTATATTTTTAATGTAATCTTTCCCAGTTATTAAAGCAATCACAAATATTTTCTTTCTGTCAGGGTTAGAACCTTCTTAACCAAGGGCAAGTCTGAATCCAGCATGAACTACTAAAGTTGTTTTTATAAGAGAGCTGGACAACTAACAAGAACAGCCCATCAGTTCTGCTGCAGGATGCAAAAAATAAACCCACACTGGCATCTTATAATTTAGCCATCAATATATATTACATATCCAAGAAAGGGGTAGGGGTATTTCAACCGTAATAAAAATCAATATATGCAAATTTTTAAAAAGTCGTGAACAAGAAAATAATATTTAAGCTCACTAAAAGCATAGATAAAATCCACTACAGCAATTATCTTTCCAGTTATATATCTTTCCATTTAGTTATATTCAAAACTAAATAATCTATTCATGAAACACTTCAACAGCCAGAAATATAATGGAGGATCTGACCTATTACTAGGGGTGTGAAGATAATGGGATTAAAGTCATGATACCTAACTAGAAAAGTGTGTATATGTATATATGAAGAATAATAAGAGATACCTTAAGGCAGAGGTAGACATACACGATAGTATGCTGAGGTTTGCATAAATTAGCTGAGCTAATCCACATGCTACCAGTTTATACAGTTTTGACTGGCGTTTTAGGCATTTTAGCCCATTTGGAGACCTTGGGATTGTCCTACCTTTTCCTCTTACTTAAGTCCTCAAAAATTGCCTTGGCCTCTCATTTAAATATTGAGTAGAAGTTTGGGTTTGCTCAATTCATCCTAAGCTTATTAGTCTCTGCTGATACCCTTGGTCTTTAAGAATGCCTATTATCATAGCTTCAGTTTATATATCTTTAGCCCACAGGCTTCATCAGGCTGGAGAGAGAAGGAACTCTTCAAAAATCTCTGAATTATAAGCCGCAAGCTGTTTCCTCCCAAAAGTCACCCTGTATCTATATGGAGGTAGGCTCAGCCTTAATTCAAAGGCCTGAGTATTAAAAGGTAGGATATAATATAGTTAATCAAAGAAACACATAATTTCTATAAAGCAGTGCAGAATGAGTCATTATCATTTAGAGCCATGTCTGAATTACACATAAAACCTTTAATTTGATGTTCCTTGCTTGCTTGCTCATAATGCATAGTGCTTTGATTTCTTATTTTGGGGTCTTAGCAGATGCTCATGCTCTTAATTGTACTTTCCTTCAGGTTTGGGAGTGCATGAAGCATGGACCCTTGGTTCTGCATCACAGGTATTCCTTCCATTCTGCAATGTGTGTGTAGGCTGGCAGTAACAAGGGAAACTCAGTTGCAGAAGACAACGAAGGAAGTCACCAACAGAACTGGAACTACTATTGAAGAATGAATATGTATAGCAGCTGATATTTTAACTTCCAGTGTACTTTCAGAAATTAGCATATGCCATAGGCAGTCTTAGTATATGAAAATATTAACAATCCTATAACTATAATACATAAATCAGGGAGTTCCTGATGTGAAACTCTCTTCTGCCATGAACAAATGAAGTGACCTTAGGCAAGTTTCTCTATCCCTCCTTCTGCAAAACAGGACATAATAATTGTCATTCACTTTATAGGATCATAAGAAAGACACCTGAAGCACTCTGAACATGAACAATGCTGTATACATTACAAATATTATAATTACTGTTTCCCAGAAAAAAATAACTATCCATCAAATCTTATGTTTCTTCTAGCTTGTCAAAATACTTTGTAATCAAAAGTTTTGTATTTTGATACTTGCACACAGAGCTGCTCCAGTTGTGAGAGACAAAAAGGTCTAATCACTACATCTACTGTATATATTTTAGAGGGCTAAATAAATTCTTCCTTATAGCCAATATCTTGTACTCAGAAGCAGGCTGTTTTTTAATATAACACTTTCTTCTTCAGTATAGGTATCTGTCACTCACCTAAGTATTTGATTTCAAATCTACGAAATGTGGCCTTTTCTCACTTGGTTTCAGATGATTTATTAGATGCATGGGCTTCATGGAAAGAATGCAATCGTGCAATTAGTCCCTTGTAATGGAAATATTACCAGTTCTTTTTTAGGCTCGTTATTTCCCTAATCACATCAGGTAATTAATGATAGGCATGACACTGGAAATATCAACAGTACACTAAATAGGAATGGTAGAGGAAACAAACTACATAATTATATGCTAAAAAGGAAAATAAGTTTCTGATGTCTGTAGATCAGGAGAAAGACTTCACTGTCCAATCTGTGAAACAGGCTTAAATGTTGTGCTATACCACATCCAGAATAAAATATATATTCTTACTACTCATATTCAAACTGAGTATCCAAAACAATATTCAGAATCAGCAGACTTAAAGGTGTATCCTGCCGTACATGCCACAACAAAAGAATTTTGTAAACATTTATACTTTTTTGCAGATACCTTTTGCAGCAAATAAGGTGTTGAAAATAGAAATAATGTTGAAACAAAAATGTACAAAAATATTTTTTAATAATGTAACACATGAACATGAAGTAATACCATATATGTTTTAACAATGTTTTGGACAATATAATAATTATAATAAGGACTTGATTTTAGCATGTATAAAAACAAAACTGCATTATGAAACAAGTGACAAAAGCAATGTGATCAAACAAAATTATGTTTTTCATAAGTAAATTAATAAGATACATGTAGTGAATATATCAAAAACATAGAATCTTTTTATAATGATAAAATAATTCAAATGTGTAGTAACTTAAAATACCATTATGAATAAGGGATGTACTTTTATTCCTAATTACACAATCTGCTTTTATGGAACAATCACTGATCTCCCAGATTAATTCAAAAGATCCAAATCTTCAAACCTGCTGAAAGAAATCCATTCGACACTGGAATAAAAGAGTCACCTCCAGTAATTACCTAAAGAATAAAATGTTCTTATCAATCATCTATTTATTTTGTGTAACTGACAATACTGACATCTTTTAGATACTTTCCCACTTCCTGGAATCATTGTCTCCACTACACAGATATTAAGTACTAAAATGCAGAACATTAAAATGAAAGCCAACAGCATGGCTGAAGACTTCTTGGATTAATTCAGAATAATTTTCAATTACGGTTTCAATTGGAAAACTATGGTTACCAAGAAGAGAACTGAAGACCAGAAAGCAGATTATGGAGTTAACATCTGAAGTTTCATCATAGCAGATGGCAGTACTTAAGTGACCCCAACTGATCCAGATCAGACCTCTTGTTACTTGGATGAGAGACTAACAGGAAATCCCAGGGCTATATGCTACAGTGATTTGTGCATAAAATATTCAAGTTTAAACTGGACCAGAATCTTATGCACAGATCTTGCAACATAACTGAAGTAGGGCAAAAGTCTACAGAAAGGTCTGTTGGGAAGATGTGATCTAGCTTTATGTTACAGTCATGTCTTCTATCAATTTAATTAAGTACTATTAACATATCTTGTAACCCTACAGAAATGTTGCAGAATTCAGGACTCTTCTCAGTTTGCAAAAAGAGAAAAAGAAAAAGAAAAAAGCAGTGACATCATTTTGAAGTGACATAACCACTCTTGTGAGTCATTCTTTTCAAAGAGTACAAAGTACCTTTGGGCTGTTATTGCAACATTTGTGCATACTTTTGCATAACAGTAGAACGATCTAAAAAAAGGCAAGGAGGGTAAAGATCTTGGGCTTTAAAGATACAATCTGTAAGATTATAAACTGTATCGCTGTACTTTATCTCAAAAGATGGTGACACTTCATAGCCCTGCAACCATGTGTTGAGCCTCTGTCTCATGTATGCTGAGGCAAGGCCCAGGTTAGCCTTGTACCTGCCAGCTCCTCTAGAGCTACTAAATAGCAAAATTATAAACTGGCAACTTTTTAAAGATGCTTTGTTTACTATAAGCAAGCTAACAATCTGAGTAGGAGATACTGGCTTACCTTCTGGTACGATATGTGCTCAGTTCCTCTTGTAGGATAGATGCTCTTTTTTGTAGAAAATTTACCTAGAAAATACAGCTGTCATGACTGAAGAGTTTCTAGTATACAAAAGACATGAATATATCTGCTTCTGGTTCCTCAGATATATTGTTTAAAACCTGTTTATGGCCTGATAATCTAGGGACTGATGTCCAAATGTCAAACAGCCTAAAGAAAGATCAGGTGTATTTCATCTTCTGAGAATAACTTCCATGTTCATGTAGTAACCTTTATATTACACATATTGAAAAAAAATGATTTAAAAAAAAATACAATCCTTAAATTTTGTTTAACAGAAACTCAGTGATTTTAAAACTGAACACTGGCATAAGAATACTGAGTTTTGCAATTTAAGCATCAACATTAATAGATTATACATGTCTTTGCATCAGATTCTACTTTTGAAAAGTGTAGTCAAAAATTCTTTGTTGGAAAAGTAAAATTATAAGCATGCTATAAAACTTCATTAGTGCAGTGCTAGGAGAGAACAAAAAGAATACAGTGAAAGACTCAGGACTGAGGAGCTGGAGGCAGCCAACATATTTTAAATATAAGCAAAGCTTTGTTTGAGAAGTGAATGTTTCCTATTTGTTCGTTGTTACTGCTGCTTGGTTGGTACTTTTACCTAACCAAGCCCTCTCATTCCTCTGGAACAATTCATAACCCTGACAGGTGCAAGGATTCCACTGTTCTTTCTCACTGATGTTTTTGGAACAGGAATTTCAACAATTTTCAAAGAAGACACCTGTGCTTCAGAAGCTGTGATAGAACAGCCTGTAGCTGGATAGCGTAGTTCACTGGACAGGCAGCTGTGAGCTATGCTTTGCATATGAGCACCCACTTTTAAAAGTCTGGAGTTACTTTTACACCTTTGAAATGTTATGTATGCTAACAGAAGCTCTGAAGACTGAAATCAAATTTCAACCCCAAACTCACTTCACTGGGAGCTGGGGATTTTTCAGTTGTTAACGTTGTTACGTTTGTATACCAGTCATAAGTCACACATATTATTAATTGAAAATAGGTTTCCTAGATAAACCCTTCTCCCTTTTATTATTTGTAATGGCAACATTGGATGAAGCTGAATTCCTTCTCAAAATCAGTGGCAGTATCAACAAGACCCATAAAGCACCTGACATTATCAAGAGGGGACATGGTACTCCTTTGCCACGGCAATTTCTTTAGAAATAGCACTACAAGAAGACAATTTCAAATGCACCATTTTCCAGATGAAAATGAAATAATGCCAAACATTTTTAAGGCTATGTGAATTGGAAAAATTTAAGTACTGAAGGTTTTCTAGCCTTCAATTTTAGCTAGGTTCCTACCCATGTTTTAGTAATTATAGGAAATTGCAGGAGACCAGTTCAGATAGTCTTCTGTCACACTATTATTTTGCCAAATAGATCTACTGCAAAAGAAAATAATTATTGATGATTACCTTATAGAGTGTGAACTTATTTAACAAATACCCATTCATCCACTTGATCTTGTTCTGAAAACCTTTGGTATTAAAGGAATGTAAGGGCAGCAAAATTATTCCAAGTAACAAGTGGCTCCTAAACGTTTTTGCTTGAAGAAGAATTAGTACATCATGGTATTGGAATGTTTGCGCGTTCAACAACAGACTGAAAAATGTAACTTCACAAACCCCAGTTTGGGACCCCACGCCTTCTTGGTTCTATATCCCACTATCGCTGCCTGTACTCACAAAAGTAAGTAGAGACAAACTGTTTTTCAGCTGAGTCACTAATGTCTTTTTACAGAAACCATGCATGCTTGAAAAACAAAAGTTGCTTATGCAAAAGCTACCAAATTTAAAAAGTCATGTTCATGTTTAAATATTAAATGATTAGAATCCCTGCCATTTAAGAGGCTAAATCTGCCTCTTTATATTGGTGCAGAGAAAAAAATAGAACTCTTGTGAGTGAAATATAGTCTGGAACTAGCTAAGGAAAAAACAAGTCAAGACTATGAACTATCAATTGTCAAACTCCATTGCTTATACCAGCATGCTATGAATATTCTTGTCAGCTCTTTGAACCATCAAACTCTAGACAAGGTGCTACGGTACTATGCTGACAAATAGAACATAAAATCTTTACCTGAGATTTTAATGAGAGAATTGTGTCTTCAAGTTCTTGTCGCAAAGATGCTGGCATTAGACCTTTCAGTTTGGTTTCATATTCTTGCCGTATAGAAGTCACCTGAAACCGTAGAAAGCAAGCATTTACATAGCAAAGACTAGATGACCTAGTTAAGGTTATTTAGAAGCTGTCACAACCTACATTTTTGAGGTAATCTATATGAAGAGAAATGTTGATATGCAAGAAAAATTATCTTGTATTGAACTAAACTGAGAAATTCTTTGGCATTCTCTTCCTGTTATAAGGCTATCAATACCTCATCTTTTATTATGTAAACAATCTGAGATAGTATCTGCTTGTTTTCAAAATATTAAACAATGGCCATACATTTCTACCACAGATGTTGGCTCTAGATATTTATGAGTGTTCCATGAATCCTCCCCCCATTGCAACATCCAAACTGAATGGATGATTGTAGGAACAGTTTCACTCAACCCATGTCTAGTCACTTCCTGCTCCTACTCACTCTTGCCTGTTAATTCATTCAGAATTGGATCAGTTCTTTTTTGCCAGCTCCTGCCCACGTGCAATGCAAAGGATGTGACAGGAAAGATAAAGTAGCATGTTTCTTTAAATATACTACAGATTTATAATATTTTACTTCTAGATTTACATCTTAGATATGCTGAGATGAATTCCAATGATATTACCATGTTGTAGCTAAATAGTAAACCTAAAATAGCTAACGGGCCAACCATAACTAACATGGTCTTTTTAAACACATTTCCCAGAATTTCTTTCACACTTCTTGCTGCTTCTCTTCAAGCCTTATTTTCCAAACACATGAATGGCAGCTCAATTGGTTCTGGCCTTGTTCCCACACTCACCAACTCAATTATATTTTAAAGTATACCGAACAAACCACTTTTTTGAGGATGATTTTTTTTTCTTTTACATCAAATGGCATGCACAGACTTCAAAATCTTTTTAAGATTATGTGTGATTATGAATGAAATTGAATTTCATTTGAAAAAAAATTTCTGGGGCTTCTAGCTCCTTTGCACAGAGGTAAGAGTGGATAACATGAAAAATACTAAACAAATAAACAATACCTTTTACTGGAAAAAGGAACAGACAGCTACATTCCCTCTCAATCCCCCCACTCCAGCATGGCTTTGGCCTCTCTTGACCAATTATGCATTGTGAGTAGGCACAACCTGAACTGCAAGAATAGCTATTCCTATACTGTAGAAGATAAAAGAAAGGTGTGGCTCATATCACATCAGACTGACTAGCAAAGATGGAAGCAAGCACTATACAAACTTAACAATTTCTTAACATAAAAGATAAGTATTTCCCAGATAATTATGACATGGCAGCACTGTATTCTTCAAAACCAAACCAAACCCTACTTACTCCCTATGTCTGTGTAAGCTGACAAAAACATGTTATCTCAAATTTGGTTTCCAAAAGGTTTATAGAATAGTTGGTCCTGCAGAACTTGCCTTCTCCATTTTGTCCTTTTACTTCCATATGATAAACACTGATGTTTATTCTTTTATCTATCCTGAACTTACAGATTTCTAACAAGTTCTTGAACAAATAATAATAATAAAAACCTTATTTGGTTTGATCTATATTAAGAAACATTAATATATTTATGCTAATGGTGAAGTTATATTTTAAGATAGATGTAGCTAAAGTTTTATAATTATTACAATCATCTTTGGAATAGTCTTTTTAATACTCCCCCCTCCCCAAATTTAATAACAGCCAAACTTGTATTTTTCTTTTTTTTATTGTTTCAGAAAAGATTTTTTTAAAATTAATGTAGATTATAATGGTACAAGTAACTCTTTTCTCTTACCTGTAACATCTTCCAAATTTATACAATAAAAAATGAACAGTCTTAATTATGTAGTACAAAATTATAAACTTGAACTACTATGTGCTTTCATATCAGTGCCCTAATTAATAGCTATCTGTCGTATTCCTATATTTGAAGGAATGTGGATTGAATGCACATCTTAATGTAAATTAGGTTAAAAACCAAAGAAGAACATTTCTGGTTTTAGACTTATGAAATTAAGCATCCTGTTTCTTACAGTAGCCAACCTGAATCCACATGAAGCACAAAAATAGGACACAAGGACAAAGGCATAATGCATCAAATCCAAGAGATAAGTTATTGTAGGAAGGGGAAGAAGTTCATTTGATTTGCATTTTAAAGCCAAACAGTCTACTTCTGTGAAGGGAAAGAAAAGATAAATGTCCTACAGTATCCTTTGTGCTAGAAAGTGGGAGTTTGCCCTAAAGCAAGGTAGATCCCCTCTGCGACAGAGTGATTTCCTGATACTTTGGACCAACCACCGTCACTCCCAACTGGCATGGCCACTGACAAGGAATTGTGGGAGCTGTATCCATAACATCTGCTCTATAGTATAAAGATGGAGGCTTGAGCTGAGAGTTTGGAGAACACATGCCTGTGGGTCTATATTTTCCAAATACAATTCCCTCTTTTCGGACCAAGATGAAAGGAGAACAAATTTGCCTTTTGATTAATGATTCCTATGCATGACATGTGGAAAATTGTTCCTACACATTAGTCTTTATTTGAATTATTCTTTGGTTGGATGAAGCAAGCCTATACACTTTGCATTTAGCCTTCTATTTCCTTTAGATAGGGTGCTCCAGGAGCCTTCTGTTGTCTTCATCTAGCTCAGCCTTGCCTTCTACTTCTTTGGTGGGGGACTGATTTTTCCTAGCTCACAAATGATGCACAGAAATAATGCAATGTTAAAAAAATTCCTTCAAGTTGAGCTCAGCTCCTGATGACTTCATGGAAACATCCATGTAGCTTTCTTGATGGCAGTGCAGAGGTAGTTTGCTGTTGTCTTTTCAATGACTCCTCTCCCCCCCCCCATCTTCACAGTCTAGGCTGCATCCCTACATTCCCTGGAAGTCTCCCATCCAAGTGCTAACCAGGACTAGCCCTGTTTAGCTTCCTAGTCCAGACAAAGCCATCCAGTTGCTGCCATCTACTGAGACAAGGCAATATTAAGCTCCTTCGAAATGTGGCTGAGCAAATACTGCATAATTACTATTCTATACTAGCTTACTGTATTCTGAGGGACTATACCCACTTTTAGAAAAAGCCTAGGAAACATATAATATTAAAATCTGTCATAAAGCATTTTCCCTTCCCATAAGTTAGTTTTTTTTTAATCTGATCTATTAAAATGGACACTACCTAACCCAACCATAGAAAAGATACTTGAGACATTTTAAATATTTGATAAGACAATAAATGCAACCTACATATGAAAACAATAACATTCAATCTCAATTCACTGACAAAGAAAACCAGCTATTATTAGTTCGAGAAAACATTCTGATTTGAAGAGCTGGAAATGCATAAAACTGACAGGTGAAACAAAATATCAGAGCATTACTGCATTATGAACTGGAGCTATATAATAAAGTAAACATGAATGTTGCAAACTTAAAAAGGGAGAAAACTATTTGATCTGATAATTATTCCTTCCACTCTAACATATAGCAATATAGTTGCTTTCAGTAAAAATATTTTGATTGTAGACATAAATTGCAACAGTAATTTCACACAAACTACAATTAGCCTTTTCACAGTATGAGGCAATGTATTAGTAGCTTGGAGCACCTCCCTCACCGAAGCTTAACACAGTTATTCTTACAAGCCATTCATTTAACTGACATTGACTATAAGCCCAGAGCATAAAATCTCACAGAGTCAATGTAAACAATGGTATATACCAAAAAAGAAAAAAAGAAAAAAGAAAAAAAAAAGAATTTTGGATACCATATTGAATAATCTGAAAAGAACAAGCAGGACCAAAATTTAAAATACTGATCGTATACTTTCTTTAAAAAAAATAATGATCTTATACTTTTTAAAAAACGTTAGACGACGTCTCATGCTAAAGTGCTTTTTGATGTGTTCAAGAACAGCCTTGAAATAGCCACCCTGTATTTGCCTTCCTTCCACCTCTGCTGATATTAAATAAATAGGATGACTTGACTCACCGTGTTCAACTGAATGAGTTTAGTTGCAGCAGCTGCACAGTTCTTTTGCCAGCTAGATGAAGAAACACTATATTCTGGATTGAACAGTAATTTGGCAGTTTACTTCAAAGAGAAAATGAAACTTTGGAAGTTTGTTTAGCAGTTTGTTTGAGGTAGTCAAGGCAAAACAAACAGTTTTAAGCAAAAGCTTCTTTCTGCTTTTACTCCTTTCATTAAGAGTAGATATATCCTGTTCATGCGGAACTATTATCAAATTTGTGAATGTTTGTTTAGAAAACTCCCTAGCATAGTTTCTCTTTACATTTAATTAATCTCCCAAACAATGTCAGATACTATACAGAAATAAAGGAATCTCTATCCAAATGGTTATACTACATACTACATCCCACTCAAACTTTTGTAGAGAGAAATTTGTGGTTTGCACTAATTGTTCCTCATGAGAAAATCTCCCACCAAAGCTAACATTTTTGGAAGAAAGACCTTATTTAGTATTCCCTCCATGCGATGTCTTTCTACAGTTAGAAATGTTTTGATATTATGGTACATCACACTGGTAACTGTCCACCTGCTTGGAAAAGGATAGAACCACATGCTTTTCAGAGGGTTTGAAGAGTTATGGGACAGATAGTAGGCAACATTATATATTAACATATAAAGACCAAACTCTGAGAATAGTAAACAGCCAGGTGGCAATGTAAGCATACAATTTCAAATGTTCCAGACTTAAAATGGATACCCCCTTTCTGAGGATGAAAACTGCAAGATACTTGCTGACTCCTGTAGTTTAAACACTGTATGTTTCTTTTACCTCTTAAACAAATAGACCTGTTACTGCTTTTTAAAATAAAAAAGAAGTGTCTATTGATAGATATTTGATAAAAAATATTGGGTAAAACATTTCTATGTCCTAATTTATTTTTGCCATATTGACTACAAACCAAGAGACTAAGGATTTGTTTTACTTGAAAACAAAACAGGGTTATGATTTACAGCTTCTCTGTAAAATCCACATAATTTCTGCTACAGAAATTTAGATCTACTTGAGGTACCAATTAACC